AGTCAAAGATGACTCATCTAAGGAAAGAACAGGGCAGTACAATGGAAGAGGAAGAGGAAGAAGTGGATTCAGAGGAAGAGGTCGTGGCAGAGGAGGCCAGTCAAATGATCACAGAGATCATCAATCTCAGTCATACAAGAGTGCAATCAAGTGCTATTATTGCAAGAAAACTGGTCACAAGGAGGCAAGTTGCTGGAAGAAAGAAAGAGATCAAGGAGAGCAGAAGAATGACCAGAAATCCAACTTTGTGGAGCAAGAGGAGAGGTTGTTCATGACACAAAGTGGGTCTCGAAATAATGAGTCTGGTGTGTGGTACATTGACAGTGGTTGTTCCAATCACATGTCAAGCATGAAGTCCATGTTCAAAGAGCTTGATGAGTCTAAAAAAAGTAAAGTTAGACTCGGTGATGACAAGCAGTTGACAGTTGAAGGAATTGGCACAGTTGCAATCAAAACTGAACAAGGTAACACTAAACTTTTACATAATGTGCAGTATGTTCCACTGTTAGCCTATAATTTGCTAAGTGTTGGACAATTAATATGCTGTGGCTTCTCTGTGTTATTTGATGATGAGTCATGTGTGGTCAGAGATAAGAAAACCAATGAAGTTGTGGTTAAAATCTTCATGGGAAGAAACAGAATGTTTCCTTTGAATTTGCTTAAGAAAGTGAGCAAAGCTTTGACTGTAAAAGGAGATGATGATGCTAAGTTATGGCATCTGCGTTATGGACACTTGAATGTGCAGGGTCTGAAGTTGTTGAGTACCAAAGGAATGGTAAATGGTTTACCAAAGATTGGTGAACTCGAGCTATGTGAAGGGTGCATATATGGGAAGCAATCCAAGGGTTCATTTCCAAGAGGAAAAGCCTGGAGAGCAAGTGACTGCCTTGAGCTGCTTCATGCTGATCTGTGTGGACCAATGCAGACTGAATCTCTAGGAGGAAGCAAGTATTTCTTCCTAATAACAGATGACTACAGCAGAATGAGCTGGGTGTACTTTCAGAAGGCAAAGTCTGAGTCATTTGAGAACTTCAAAAAATTTAAGGCTTTGGTGGAAAAGCAAAGTGGCAAACTTGTGAAATCCTTAAGAACAGATCGTGGTGGAGAGTTCATGTCAAAGGAGTTCACTGAATTCTGTGAAGATCAGGGTATAAGAAGGGAATTGACAGCACCATACACTCCAGAGCAGAATGGTGTGGCAGAGAGAAAGAATAGAACTGTGGTTGAGGAATTGACAGCACCATACACTCCAGAGCAGAATGGTGTGGCAGAGAGAAAGAATAGAACTGTGGTTGAGATGGCTAGAAGCATGTTGAAGGCAAAAGGTCTGCCAAATGAGCTATGGAGTGAAGCTGTAGCAACTGCAGTCTACATCCTCAACATTTCACCAACAAAGGCTGTCATGAATAAGACTCCTTATGAGGCTTGGAGAGGAAAGAAGCCACAAGTAAGTCATCTGAGAATTTTTGCTTGTATAGTATATGCTTTAGTTAATTTGAGAGCCAAGCTTGATGAGAAGTCTGTGAAGTGTGTATTTATTGGCTATGCAACTCAATCTAAAGCATATAGGCTGTATGATCCTCTAAGTGGCAAGGTGATCATAAGCAGAAATGTGGTGTTCAATGAGGATGCAGAATGGAACTGGAAGAAGGAAGAAAATAATGGAGAAAATAAGAGAATTTTTACCTTTGACAGCTCAGATGAACTACCACAAATGACAGAACAAGCTCATGGTTCACCACCAATGTCAGATCAAGGGCAGTCTACACCAAGCTCTCCATCAACTTCCTCAAGCAATCAAAGCTCCTCAACCTCTAGTTCATCAAGTGAATCTCCACCAAGAGGGTTTAGATCATTGGAAGAAATCTATGAAAAATGTGATTTTGCCTTAATTGCTACAGAACCAACAAGTTTTCAGGAAGCTGTGACTGAAGCAGTGTGGCAAACTACAATGGAGGAAGAAATCAAGTCTATTCAGAAGAATAAGACGTGGGAATTAGTGGATCTTCCTACAGGGAAGAATGTGATTGGTTTGAAGTGGGTTTTCAGAACAAAATATAACACTGATGGAAGCATACAGAAGCACAAAGCAAGGCTTGTGGCAAAGGGGTATGCTCAGATTGAAGGAACTGATTTTGAAGAGACTTTCTCCCCTGTAGCTAGATTTGAAACAGTGAGGGTTGTCTTAGCTTTGGCTGCACAACTGAAACTGCCTGTGTATCAGTTTGATGTAAAATCAGCCTTCTTGAATGGTGAACTGCAAGAGGAGGTGTTTGTTGAACAACCTCAAGGCTTTGTTAAGAAAGAAGAAGTGAACAAGGTGTACAAGCTGCACAAAGCTCTGTATGGGTTAAAACAAGCCCCCAGAACTTGGTACAGCAGAATAGATGCTTTCTTCTCTAAGGAAAGCTTTGAAAGAAGTGAGAATGAGCCCACACTATACACCAAGAGACAAGGTACCTCAGAGTTCATAGTTGTCTGTCTTTATGTTGATGATATAATTTATTTTAGTTCATCACATAAGCTGCTAGATGAGTTTAAAGTCTCCATGATGAAAGAGTTTGAGATGACAGACTTGGGTCTGTTGCAGTACTTTCTTGGGTTAGAAGTGAAGCAGAGAAAGAGTGGAATCTTTGTGAGCCAAAGGAAGTATGCACAGGACTTATTGAAGAAGTTTAAGATGGAAAATTGTGATGCTGCTCTCACTCCTATGAACACCAATGAGAAGCTGCAGAGGAATGATGGCACAGAAAAGGCAGATGAGAAGCTGTTTAGGAGCATGGTAGGAGGCTTGAACTACCTTACACACACAAGGCCTGACATTGCCTATTGTGTGAGTGTAGTGTCAAGATATATGCATCATCCAACAAAGCAGCATCTTGGTGCTGCAAAGAGAATATTGAGGTATGTAGCTGGAACAACTGAGTATGGAATCTGGTATGAGAATTCAGATAACTTCAAAATAATTGGTCATACAGACAGTGATTGGGCAGGCTGTATTGATGATAGGAAAAGCACCTTAGGGTCTGTATTTAGCCTTGGTTCTGGTGCTATTACTTGGAGTTCAAAGAAGCAAGAAACTGTTGCATTGTCCTCATCTGAAGCTGAGTATGTAGCAGCAGGATCAGCTGGAAGACAAGCATTGTGGCTAAGGAAGCTGTTGGTTGACTTGGGAAGTGCACAAGAGGAAGCAACTGAGCTATGGTGTGACAACAAATCAACTATTGCTATGACTAAGAATCCTGCGTTTCATGCTAGAACAAAGCACATTGAAGTGCAACATCATTTCATAAGGAAGCTGGTGTCCGATGGGAAGATTGTGTTGAAATTCTGTGGCACAAATGATCAAAATGTAGATTTATTCACTAAGGCTTTAACTCAAGCAAAACATCAGTTCTTCATGGAGAAGATAGGTATGCGAGTGTTTGAATCAAGGGGAGGTGTTGAAATGTGATTCAAGCCTCTCTTGATCAAGTCAAATCAGTTAGCTATTATTTAGGAGAAAGTTATTATCAATAGTGTAAGTAGTTCTGTTTGTTTAAAATTGCAAAAGTGATCCACGTTCTTAGGCAGGTTGTTAGACGTGGTTAGTGGGAGTCAGTTTCTTATTCTAATTCTATTTAATCTTGTAGTTGTAATTAGTTTCAATTAAGAAGATCAATATCATAAGCTTCTTCCATTGTTAACAGTGTGAATAAACAAGTTTCTTCTTCCTCTGTTATTCCAACAACCTCTACACCCCCTCCCCCAACCCCACAAAAAAAAAAGTTCTATATTGAATGGAAGGTCATAAGGCATATCAATCGTGCCAATTTTTATAGCAGGCATCGACCTGTATATTACAGGTAACAGACATATTCATATATAGCCAACTAAAATTATGAGGTAAAAAACCTCTCAATGCTTCTGTATTTCCCTACTACATAATATATACTAATTAGAGTATTATATGCGATTGTGTTGGACTTAAGCCTCTTTGAATTAATTATTTACTTTGCTAGTCAAGAAGACCAACCATCTCAGTACGTGAGTCATCTTGAAGCTTCATTCCATCTCCCTTGTTTCAATACTTATTATCACAACGAACGGTTTACTAATCAACCTCTTCAGATGGGTTAAGAAATAATCCCTCTATTTATAAAGAAAGTAGTAATTCACCCGTGATAGGATTGTATATGGGCGTACATCCCTCTTCCTTAAATCTTCCTCCGGTCTCCTTAATTAATCCCTCTTCCTTAAACCCTTTCCAAATATGCCTTAGTGATTGTATATTACCATTACTTACCATTACTAATGTCGGCCCCGAGTCCACCTTAGCACCCTACTATATATAGTACAAATTTTCAAAGTCTTTAAGTTCTAGTACTCCTTACTTGTCCTGCAGATAACCTAGCCATCAGCCCCTGGTCCGCTTCTGCGGCATCTTCATGGCAGTCGGATCACCGGGAGTTCGTGATACCTGACCTGAGGCCTGACGGTAGTCTACATGGGAAAATTATGTAAAACTTACAAAGTGAGGCCAGAAAGAAAGTACAAAAGGGCTGGCTCAAGATTCTTGAGTTAAAAAAAGTGTTTCCAAACTTAGCCATGACAGGGATTTGTTTCTGTATAATTTGCAGGGTAACCACCTAGTAGCTGTGACAAGAGCAGATTAAAAATGAGAAATTTCAAGAGGGGCCTCAACCTTACATCACATACCCTCAAGAACTAGCTAACATTTCCTTATTCTATATAGTAAAAGAGGATCTGATAAGTTGGAATCTCCACCAAGATGCCAGTCTAGTAAGAAGCTAAGTTTCACTCCTCATTGAAGAATACGGTAGAATTGTCCTAATCAACTAAATTAATCAGGAAATAATGGTGAAATCAATCAAAGGAGAATAACACAAACAAAACCTCAACTGGTTTTCTGACGATTCATTAATAAGTAAAAAACACCTTTGTTTGGGTGATGGGTCTTAGGTGGTGAGCTGTAGGAGCTTACCACCTATAAATACCCCATGAGTGATTCAAGCGGAACATCAGCTCTCGACTCCAGTCCAGAAACACAGGACGTCGCCATGGCAAAATATTTACTGCTAGCAGTAGTTGTGGCTCTCCTAATGGAAACCCTCGATACAGTGGCTTGCTATCGCCATTCTACCCTCCCACTGGGAACATGCAGACCGAGCGGACATTTGCGAGGTAAGGAAGGAAACTGCAATCCCGAACACGACTCAGACTGCTGCGTCGCTGGAAAGAAGTACCCCCAGTACCGTTGCTCTCCGCCGATAAAACGAGAGACAAAGGCTCGCATGACTGTCAACAGCTTTCGAAAGGGCGGCGATGGCGGAGGCCCTTCTGAGTGTGACCGAAAGTACCACAGTGATTCTGAGATGGTTGTGGCTCTCTCGACGGGATGGTATGATCGTGGAAGCAGATGCTTGAAGAACATCAGGATCAACGCTAACGGCAAGTCCCTGCTGGCGAGAGTTGTGGACGAGTGCGACTCGGTGAATGGGTGTGACTCTGATCATGACTTCCAGCCACCGTGTCCAAATAACATCGTCGATGCTTCTCCGGCGGTGTGGAAAGCGTTCGGCATACCTACGGCGGAGATCGGTGACTATGATGTCACATGGTCTGATGCGTAAATTGGGTCTATGTTTTTTACGTTTAGACGTTTAAACGTAAACATGGCGTGTTTCCTGTGACTAGAAGTGTATTGTTCCATTTTTCGCAGAAAAAATAAAATCTTCAGATAGTTATGGGCTAAAATTAAAGCCTGATACGGTAGGAATCCTGCCACCATAAAATATTTCATTACCTTGAGCCAGAGAGAAAAATGGTAACTATGCGATCAAAGGTTCTTAGTAGACTGAAAATTGCTAAGAGGGAATCTAAATGACAAGGACAGCAGTCTTTCTGTTTGCTTCTCTTGAAGATTATTTTAAGTGTTAACCTGAATATTCATCAGGAATTGTTAATCAATTTGGCATCTAGCTTTCGAGAGAGCCTAGGAATATAAGAAGACGTATATAGGAAATGATGATGATGACTCATTGAAGTGAGACTTTATAATGAAGCCAGCAGCCATATAAGCAATTTTATGCCACCAAATCCAATCTATGCATGTCGATCTCAATGTGTTTGGTCCTCTCATGAAATATTGGATTATTAACAATCTGGATGGTGTGAACACGTGGGGGTAGGGGCCCACCCATGTGAAAGAATTGTGAGCCTGAGCCTTTTCCACATTGTGCTCCTCCCACGCGTTTTCTTCGAGGGCCCCACACATGTGAAAGAATTGCTCTTTGAGAACGTGCTGGTTGCTGCTATAAATAGGAACAATACTTGTTCCTAGGGTTTTGTGCGGAGGCAGAGGGGAGAAAGAGAAAAAGGCGGCTGAGTTTTTCTTTTCGGTGCAAGATTGGGAAGCGGATAATTAAAAAGCGGCTGCAGAAGTTTTGTGCAGAGGCAGAGGCTTGGACGGCGTGCAAAAGGCGGTTGTGGATTTTTTTTTCTTGGGCTTTGTGCAGAGGAGAAAACTCCTATTTGGTGACTATTTTTGTGAGAGATTAGAGAGTTAGTTTGAGGGTTTAGTTTGTGAGATTGTAAACCTATTGTATTTTCTCTCTAATAGTAGATCCCTCCTGCTTACCCCGTGGACGTAGGCAGTTTTCCGAACCACGTAAAATTATTTTGTTTGAGTTTGTGACCATTATAATAGTTTTTATGATCCCTCGACACGCAGTCCTAGAGCTGACGAGAGGAAGAGCTAATATCCCACTTTGATGAGATATTAGGCTTCAGATTCTTGTTCCCTTTGAGAAACAAGAATTCTTATCGATCTTTCTCTCTTATTGTGCACCAGAAACTTTGCCGAAATTTCCGCTGCGCACAACAAGTGGTATCAGAACCCAGATTTCAGATCTAGGGTTTGGTTAAAGGAGTAGATCAATTTAGAGGCTTGTCTAGGGCTTCCTTTGGTGATAAAGGTGGGATCTTTTGGTAAAAGACTCTATCTTTTTAGTTTCGGATCTATTCTTCATTGGTTGGTGCGTTGAGAAAGATGTCGGAGAAAGAAGGTGCTTCGGGTGTCGAGAGTGGTGCTTCTGGCGCGAAGACCATTCAGAGTTTGAATATCCACTTTATGAAGATAGATGTGGAAAAGTTTAATGGCACAAACAACTTTAGATTATGGAGATGCGAGGTTTTGGATGCGCTGAACGCGCAGAATTTAGAGGATACTTTGGAGTTAGATGGCAAGCCAGATGAGATTGAAGAGAATGTTTGAAAGAAGATGAATCGAACGACGTGTGGTGTGATTAGATCTTGTTTGACTCAAGATCTAAAATATGATTTGATCTTGTTTGACTCAAGATCTAAAATATGATGTGATGAATGAGACTTCTGCAAAGAAGATTTGGGAGATTCTCGAAAGCAAGTATCTGACAAAGAGTGTTGAGAACCGCTTGCATTTGAAGAGGAGACTTTATCGTTTCCAGTTGAAAAAGAGAACCTCCATTAGAGATCACATGAACCACTACACAAAGCTTCTTGCGAATTTGGCGAATGTGGATGTCATGATTGAAGATGAGGACAAGGCATTGTTGTTGTTGAGTTCCTTGCCCGACGAGGAATATGAGACCTTCGTTCTTACTCTGATTAATGGGAAGGTATCTCTTTCGTATAGTGAGGTCACTGCTGCACTGGTGAATTATCAGCTTCGGAAGAAGGATAAGGAGACTTCGACTGAGTCGGTAGCAGAAGCGTTGGCCGCAAGAGTGAAGGGTCCAAACCGAAAGAATTGGAAGTCACAGTCTAGAGTAGGAAAAGATCAGTGTGCTTGGTGCAAGGAAACTGGTCATTGGAAGAAAGACTGCCCAAAGCTCGACGAATGGATGAAGAATAAACAGAAGGGAAAAGGGAAGCAACCATCATCAGAAGCAAACATCGTATCGGATGGTAATAATTCTGACTCTTCTATTTATTCGCTTTCTATCAGTCCTACAGATAGCTATTCGGAGGAATCCGAATGGATGTTGGATAGTGGTGCGACCTATCATGTGTGCCCTAGAAGGGAATGGTTCTCCAGTTTTGAGAAGCTGGATAGTGGTGTGGTATACATGACTGATAACCGTGCATGTCAGATCCATGTGATAGGAAGAATTCGCATAAAATTATTTGACGGGACTGTTAGGGAGTTGAATGATGTGAGATATGTTCCTTCTTTGAGAAAGAACTTAATCTCGATTGGAGCTTTGGTTGGAGAGGGTCTGAATGTTCGAATTGAGGTCATGGTTCTCAAGATTGTGGAAGACTCTCGAATTGTGATGAAGGGCGTCAGGAGGAATAACCTGTATTACTTGACTGGAGGTATGGAGGCAGGTGGAGAGCTGGCGACTTCTATTGATTTGACTAGACTGCGGCATTTGGGGCTTGGCCATTCCAGTATTGATTCCTCACATAGATTGAAAGAGAGTGTAAAGACCTGCAGTTTGAAGTCCAGTGAACATGTTAATGTGAGCAAGAAGACCGAGGTGAAGTTAGGCACCTCTATTCATCATGCTAAGGGTCGTTCTAGAGGAGTTCACGTGGATGTTTGGGGGCCTTCCAAGGGGGCATCATTGGGAGGTAATTGAAGTTTGGTTTCCTTTGTTGATGGTTGTTCTAGGCGTGTTTAGGTTACAACCAAATCCTCTTTGGAGAAAGTCCTAGTAGTATCCAACAGATTGAAGAAGTGTGTGATAGACAGAAAGGTGAAGGTACTCCATTCTGGTTTGGGTAGGAGGTACAAGATGGACATGTTTCTGTATTGGAGCCGAGCTTACGGCATTTTGAGACACTTTGTTAGAAAGGAAATCTTGGGGCAACTAGATAGGATGGCAAATTTGGAGAACCGTGCCTTACTGGAGGAGGATCGATGTTTGTGGTTGAGCAATGGTTTGCAGAAGAGGTTCTGGACTGAGGCTTCGACATATTCGAGCCATCTTATTAAAGAGTTGTCAACTGCTGTGATTGGAGGTAAAACTCTATTGGAAGATAGGTCTGATTGTGTCACTTTGGTTGAGGCTTCGATGAGAAAGCCAATTGACTCTCAGCAGGTGAAGAGTTTTGGACAGACCTTAGAGGTATCGCAGCGGGTGGAGATTGATGCTACTCCATATTGGGTGGGGATTTTCCCATATACTCCAGGTCATTCTGTATTGGTTGGGATTCTAGCTGAGGTGACACAGCGTGGGAGTCACTTGGATTTATGTGCAGATGATGAGTTGGGTTTTGAATCGAGTGCAGCTGGCAGACATAGTTTGGATATGGCCATTGGTTCGCCTCAGGTGGAGGTGTTTGAGGCCATTGGAGGTGCTATCAGCCACAGAGGTGATGATATTGGAGAAGGATTGCGAACTCTTCTATTGGATTGAGGTCGTTCGCGGCCATTTGGGTGAACTACGTTCAGCTTGATTCATTGGGCAAGAGGATACGTAGGCAGTCTTATGATGCAGCCGGGTTGGATTTTGATGGGGGGTTGAGATTGTTTGGACTTTCGTTCGGGTTCTCGACTTGTTGTGGATTGAGTTCGTACTGGACACAACAAGTGAGACTTTTGGTTGCTTTGGTGTCGGCTCAATTTTGGGAAAACTTCACCGAGATGGAGAATTGTGAACACGTGGGGGTAGGGGCCCACCCATGTGAAAGAATTGTGAGCCTGAGCCTTTTTCGCATTGTGCTCCTCCCACGCGTTTTCTTCGAGGGCCCCACACATGTGAAAGAATTGCTCTTTGAGAACGTGCTGGTTGCTGCTATAAATAGGAACAGAACTTGTTCCTAGGGTTTTGTGCGGAGGCAGAGGGAAGAAAGAGAAAAAGGCGACTGAGTTTTTCTTTTCGGTGCAAGATTGGGAAGCGGAGAATTAAAAAGCGGCTGCAGAAGTTTTATGAAGAGGCAGAGGCTTGGACGGCGTGCAAAAGGCGGTTGTGGATTTTTTTTCTTAGGCTTCGTGTAGAGGAGAAAACTCCTATTTGGTGGCTGTTTTTGTGAGAGATTAAAGAGTTAGTTTGAGGGTTTAGTTTGTGAGATTGTAAACCTATTGTATTTTCTCTCTAATAGTAGATCCCCCCTCCTTGCCCCGTGGACGTAGGCAGTTTGCCGAACCACGTAAAATTATTTTGTTTGAGTTTGTGGCCATTGTAATAGTTTTTAGGATCCCTCGACCGCAGTCCTAGAGCTGACGAGAGGAAGAGCTAATATCCCACTTTGATGAGATATTAGGCTTCAGATTCTGACGAGAGGAAGAGCTAATATCCCACTTTGATGAGATATTAGGCTTCAGATTCTTGTTCCCTTTGAGAAATAAGAATTCTTATCGATCTTTCTCTCTTATTGTGCACCAGAAACTCTGCCGAAATTTCCGCTGCGCAGAACAGATGGCACTCTTATTATCACAGTATAGAGGAGGAGTCGAAACAAAAATACCGTCGCAGGATTGGGGATGTAACTAGGGATAGGGCTAGGGTTTTGGGTAGGGTAATAGGTGGCAGGTGGCGGCTGCTGATGGACGAGGATGAGGGTGGGCGGCGAGTCTTGTGGCAGGCGAGCAGGAGCGGCGAGGGGGTTTGGTCCGCGGCGGGCCACATTAGGTGGTGGCCGGGTA